ATGCATAATATATGACAATTACAATATAGTCCTTGCACTCAAGGAGAATATAACCCATTATACAGCAGAGAGATGAAATCTTTACACAAAGTATTAGAAATGGTCTTAATGTGACAAGCTAGTTAAACAGTAGTGACACAACAGAAGAAATAAAGCTTATCAGACACATTTGAAGCATCCAGGTTCTTGAAGACCAAGAGTTATTGAAATCTGCAAATGGTATATGAGCATCTCATGGGGAATTTTAACTTCCCTTCAGGACATTTTTTTGGTCATATCTGCAAACCACAAATGAAACTCTGGCTTTCCCCCTGCTTCCTTCCTCTTCGTGTTTATAGAGCCAGAGATGATTTAAATGTTCATAAATGAAAAGCAAGAGTAAATACAAGCAGTCTGTATGAATCATAAACTGGAAAGCAGCTTCTGAATTCAAGTTAATCATTTTATTTTTTTATTTTTTTAAGATTTTATTTGTTCATTTGAGAAAGAGAGAGAGAGAGGGGGAGCACGAGAAAGGGAGGAGGAACAGACTCCACACAGAACACAGAGCCTGACACGGGGCTTGATCCCAGGACCCCAGGATCATGACCTGAGCCAAAGGCAGATGCTTAACTGACTGAGCCACCCAGGCGTCCTCAATTAAAATAAGATTTTAATAGTTTTGGCTTTTTATTTTAATAGTTAATGGCTTCAGATGATTTGCTACAGAAATGATGGTCTTAGGCAAAACTTTAATGTCGGCCAAAGGCTGTTTTTCACACATTATGGTGTAAAATATGCCGGCTTTGGGCACCTGCTACTCCAGAAGCAACTAAAGTTAAAAATCGGCTAAGTTCATGAAAAAATACAGGAAAACTTCAAAGTTCCTTCAGAAAAAATACACAGCAAAATTTTGTATTATATTATTAATTGTATAACCATATAATCAGTAATTCTATCATTAATCAAATAGTTATTGGTGAGGTTGTATCTAATGATTTTGGCCATTAGCACAAGTTTAATCTTCCTGTTGAAAACACATGAAAATTTTCTATTCAAACCTGTAAAATATTATAGAGATGTTAACCAGCTGAGCCCAGTTTCACCAATGAGCTATATTGATTTATATTACTTAACAGTTTATTAACTAAGTCTTTACTATGTAACATATTATTTTGGAATCTTTTTCACAAAGGCAAACATCATTTTTTAATGAATTTTCTTTGTACCTGCATAAATATATCAACCACCCACAGTTGAATGTGGCATGAAAGAGATATCCCTGTGCCATCTGAATTGGCGATTCTGAAATCAATGGTTTGATGAACATTGAAAATAAAGGGTGTCATTATATTATATTCCAGATGGGAAAAGGATTTACAGATTAGGTAAGTGTATTTTTATAATTAATAAAATGTATTAAAAGTGCCTGGTTTATTTGGATAAACTTAGATTTTTTTAGTTATGGATTGAAATTATTATACAATGGTAATTTGTTATGTAAGTTCACTTAAACAATAAACCATCCTGTGTGTTGATGCTGCCATCTGTGTTCATACCAAAAAGAAGGATGCTTAGCCTAAGCACATGCAAAGCCTTCAATGTATAACGCAGCTATTCCATGAAAACACACCTGTGGTTGGAAACTATTTTATCTAAATTAAGAGGAATAGAATTTGTTTTATAATTGATTAGACAAAAAATGTTGTACCAGCTTAAAACAAAGTTCCTTCATAATGTTAATCTCAGAAATGGGAAGGTCGTTGAAACTTTTATTGATCTGTTATTAAGAATCCCACTTGGGATATGGCCCAGGGCACACAGTTTCTTCTCTGAGGCAAATTCCATTACGGTATGGCTCTTCTTGCCACTTCTTCCTCTACTTTTCTATTTTCCAAGAGGCAGTGGATACAAGGGCTTCATTGGAATGAGACAGAGACACAAGATAAACGTGAGAATATCATGCAACGTGTTTTTAATGTTTGAAAATAGTCTATATAAAACAGAGGGCTCAGAGACTAGAAGTCAATGTTTTTTGTTTTTGAAAATTTGGTTTCTATTTTTTTAAAGATTTTATTTATTTATTTTAGAGAGAGAGCGCACGCAAGTGGGAGAAAGGGCAAAGGGAGAGGGGGAGAGAGAATCTCAAGCAGATTCCACACTGAGCATGGAGCCCAACAGGGGGCTCGATCTCACAACCCTGAGATCATGACCTGAGCCAAAACCAAGAATCAGACTCTTAAATGACTGAGCCACCCAGGTGCCCTGAAAACTTGATTTCTAAAAGCCAGTTAAAAGTTTAGTGAGGTTGTCAGCAATTTTCTGATTCATTTAAATGAAAATTGTCCTTCGTTATATTTCAGAAAACACTTTAGTGGACACTTCGATTTTGCAAAAAGGAAAGCCACAATCCTATTCTTCAGTGGAGGTGTTAGAGACACTGAAGTGTTAAATTGCTCTTATAATGATGTTTCATTATCATCAGAGTTGCACCCTCGGGATTATTACTCAGAAGCCAGCCTGTGACTGCAGAAGAGAAAGCTGTTTTCTCTGCTCTTACAAGAGCCCCTGAGAAAGGGGGTAGAGAGTTGACCTTGAAGTACTTGGGAGGATGCAAAGAGGTAGATGATAAGAGACTAAGGCAAAAGAAACTGAATGAGAAGCCATACATTTGTCAAAGATGATGATCTAGGGATTGTAGGAACTTAGTATGCTTTATACACATATCTTGGTTAACTCAATCAACACAACTGAGGGTCTTTAAACAGCTATGTATTCTAACAGAGTTATTTATTAACTATGATCCCAGACAACTATCTTCAGCTTCTCAGTAAGCTTTACTGTTCTTCTACATGGAGATGATCTCAGTGGGGACAGTGCAAACCTCTAGAGAATAGTTAGGAAAAATGCGGGGGCATTTTGGATTGGCCCAAGAATGGGACAGAACTACTGCTATTTACTGGTTGAATGTTAAGGATGTTAGATATCCCCCAATCTTTGAAAGAATCACATGCAACAAAGAATTATCTTACCTCTCTATGATTTGAATGGTCCATCATTCCTGTGGTCTAAAAGCAAATTAATGATCCAAGAACCTAACTCTGTAAGATATATAAAACAAAAGTATCTTTTGCAAAGTTTTAAAAATTCACTGAATATTTCAAGGAATGCATCAGTTGTCCACACTAAAGGCAGACTAAACATTGTTATCTTTGAAAATTTACCAAGGTTGTTCACCATTTTGAAAATTGTATCACCAATGGCAACCCCATTCCAAATATTTGAGTGACAATTACAAACCACCTGTAAATCAGTCTGCATTTATTTGTACCTACTGCATTGTCAGTGATTCCAAGTATAGGTAGGAACATTTTACCTGGTGTTCTATGTCCCATGTATTTCCAGTGTAGTCACTCCAAGCATTTATACAGTAATATTTATAGTATCTTCTTACAAAATATTTTGATTTTATTTTTCCTTTATTTTAAAGGTCAGGCACTATATTTCTTTTTTATTTATTAGAAAATACTTTGTTAAGTCTACCATCTTGCTACCTCTTTTCTGTTCTTACCAGATTTTCTTGTACGGAAAAGATCTAGAAACAAAGCAAATATTTGTCACAGGAGAATTAGCTGAATCAATGACAATGTATTTGTGCCATGAAATATTTCACAGTAATTAAAAAGAATGAATTACTTTTGTCTCAAAGAGATTTTGTATTCTTTGGTGAGAAAAATCAAGACACAGTAAAGAATGCATAATAAAATGACATTTTGTAAAATAGGTCATGATATAAAATATGTATGATTATATCAGATGAGTGAAAAACATGGAAATATTTATACTAGGTTGTTATCATGTATTATTTTGTGGGGTTGGGAGATCACAGGGTGATGAAGGAAAGTTTAGGCAAAGAATAATAGAGGAAAAGTGCATGTGTTTGCATATTTGAGTAAAATTACATATATATGTATATATCTAATTAACATTTTAATAATAAGATTTAATAATAAGGGATGCCTGGATGGCTCAGTCATTAAGCGTCTGCCTTCGGCTCAGGTCGTGATCCCAGGGTCCTGGGATGGAGCCCCACATCGGGTTCCCTGCTCCGCGGGAATCCTGCTTCTCCCTCTCCTACTCCCCCTGCTTGTGTTCCCTCTCTCGCTATGTCTCTCTCTGTCAAATAAATAAATAAAATCTTTTAAAAAAAGATTTAATAATAAGATTTAAGTACATGGGGCATCTGGGTGGCTCAGTCCTTAAGCGTCTGCCTTTGGCTCAGGTCATGATCCCAGGGTCCTGGGATTAAGCCTGGCATCGGGCTCCCTGCTCAACAGGAAGCTTGCTTCTCCCTCTCCCACTCCCTCTGCTGTGTTCCCTCTCTCGCTGTGTATCTCTCTGTCAAATAAATAAAATCTTTAAAAAAAAAAAAAAGATTTAAGTACATGAAAAAAGGAAAGGTTTGACTGATTAAAAAATACCTTTGGAGTTTTCGTCTGAGGAAGCTATGAACTAGAAGTGTGCTTCTGGGAGAAGCCCATTTCTGGTCACGTGCCTCAGTTAATCCACTGCAGTTTTCTAAAACTGGCAACCAAGAACATGCTCTGTGACTTACAAAAAACATGGTGCTGGGACTGATGACAGGGGATGCATTTGAGGTCACAGTCTCTATGTCTGGGTGACCTGACCGAGTGTTAGGTAGGATTCAGAGTTCAAACACTTGTATTGAGCTTAACCCACAACAGCTCTTGCCCGGTGAAGGACACAAATCTGAAGCATATTTTAAAAATATCTTAAAGTCTTTACAGTTATAAACAAAATTCCCTCTAAGAACCATAGCTGTTTTTCTCATTGTTGAATGTCTTCAAATGCAATCCTGTTAGCCCATTCATGATCTTGTTTTACTGTTCACCAAAAATGCAGCAATTCAGAGGGAGACACATCAATGTTATTGCATTTTAAATATTTTGAGGCACTTTTTATTGAAATTGGAAAAATTGAAACTCTAATGGCTACTCAAATGATAGTTTTCTGAGAGAAACCAACAAATGAACATTATAACACAGGAACTCATTCTAAGAAGGAAAACCTAGTACCTTATCAGTAGGGAAGGTTATAGATCACACAAAAAAAAAGGAAGGAAAGAAGAAGGAACGAAGGAAGGAAGGAAGGAGAAGAAAAGAAAAAAAAAGAAAGAAAAAATAAGGGGTTTCCTCTCCAGAAGAAGGCGGTGAGTATTGGGCACTGCTAGTTACTTTTTCTTCCCTTTCTTTTTTTTCTGTGTGTCTGGAGCCAGCGTCTTCTTCTCTGGCTCCACCGGACTTGTTTCTTCCTCCGTAGCCAGAGCTTCTAATCTTAGGCGCTCAGCTTCCAGCAACTTGTTTCTATACTCTTCCCTGATATCAAAGATCTTCTGTCGGGCTTCATCTAAAGAGTCCTATTCCAAAACAAAATCCCAAGCAATTAAGATCTACTGTTAAAAGCTTATGGTCCCAGAAAGAAATTAAAAAAAAAAAAAAAAAGCAATCCCTTGATCCCTTCCTCATGCCAATAGATTCCTGTGGCAAATTACTGAAGAGAGACAGAGAAAAAAATATTAGGTTATGGTCTCAAATGTTTATCAATACATGAAACATAAGAGAGCAACAAAGGGTACATGAGATTTTAACAAAATGTTAAATAAAAGCATTACTAAGAGAAAGAGAGAGAAAGGGAAGAGATAGGCATGAGTTCAAATATAAGCTCTAGAAAACATGCAGCTCAGTGCATCTCTCACCGTAATTGTGCTCAGTAAGTTCTAGTTCCCCACATTGTACTAGACCTGATGAAATGTGTCTGACCTGTACTTGAAGAACTTTCAAGTACTATCACCCAGTTCACTGCTTTCTTTGTTATTGTCCGTTTGGCTTTCATTCAAAGACACCAAGCTAAATCCGAGATCACCTCTTGGTCCAATTCTTACTTACCCCTACCCTCTCCTCCTGGATCAACTGATTCACTTGGTTTTCTGGACCTCATACCCCATTGACTTTTCTTCCTCTTTCACTAGCTGCTCCTTGTCAGTTGCCTCTGCTAATTTCTCCTCTTCTCCTTCATCTCTTAACGAGGAAATGGCCATGTCTTAGATCTTAGACCTCTTTCCTTGGTGATTTTATCTAACCCCATGGCTTTAAATTCCATTTCTATACTGATGGGGGTCCCCCAATTTTCTAATCTAGAGCCCAGATCTCTCTCCTAAATTCCAGAACCATATATCTAACTTCTTTCAATATCTCCCACATGACTGTAATAGATATGTAAGAATGCTTTTTTCTGATACAATAGAAATATCCAAAAATGTCTCAAATTGAAATCTTTGTCTTTCCTTTCAAGCCTTCAGATCTGATGGCAACTCAACCCTATCAATTGTTTAGCCAAAAACCTTAGAGCATTTCTTGACTCTTTACTTTCTCTTATACCAACAATCCATCAGGAAATCCTGATTCTACTTTTAAAATATATATAACTATAGTTAAATTATAGTTTATATTTTCAAAAAGAAGGGTAATTTTCAAAACTTAATGTCAGTTCCAGGCAACATTCTAAAAATATTCACAAATAAAGCAGTGATACAATTTAAGTGCCAATGTAGCTTTCCTAAGAAACTTTGGCTTTCTTGTTTCATTTGCATTTCTGACAGAATGGGCACAATTATGGTTCAACCTGTTGTTTCCTGTTTCAAAAATGATATAATTTAAAAAAAGGATTAATGAACTGATGCTAGCCAGAAGAGAAGTATTTAGAAATGACTGTTTTTGTCTTCATTGCTGAATTCTTCGAGAAATTTTCTGTGGTTTTGCAACTTGCATGATTGTGGTGGAGATTATGGCAGAGTTGAATGTCAGAATGAGACTCTCCTCAAAGCTTTTGGTGAAAGAAAAGTCCTGTATCCACCACAATAAAATTGGCTTCACTAAACCAATTGTACAAGATGAGAGTAGTACCGTATTAAAAAGAGAGACAGGAGCGCCTGGGTGGCTCAGTCGGTTAAGCGTCTGCCTTTGGCTCAGGTCATGGTCCCAGGGTCCTGGGATCGAGCCCCGCATTGGGCTCCCTGCTCAGTGGGAAGCCTGCTTCTCCCTCTCCCACTCCCCCTGC